TAAGGATCAAATCAGGATAATAAACTCATTTCCTCAGGTGTCCATTTTTATGTGTTGGGAACTTTTGTATTCTCCTAGATATTTTTAAATATATTGATCGATTTCTGAAACCAATATCTATTTACTGTGCTATGAAAAACCAGAAATAATTCCTCATCTCTGTTTTGATGCCTTTTGTCTAACCTCTATCTTCTCTCATTCCTGCTATTCCTAGTCTCTAGGTTTTATTCTACTCTGTCCTTTTGAGATCAACTTTTTAGTTTCCACAAATGAACAGGAACATATGGTATTTGTCTTTCTGGACCCGGTTTATTTCATTAACACATTTACTTCCAGTTTCATCTGTGTTGCTCCAAGTGAGAGGATTTTATTCTTTTTAATGGTTGAAAGCTATTCCATTGTGTGTATATATAATCCAATTTCCTTATCTATTCATTATTAAGGGATAAGATGGCTGATTTTGTATCTTGGTTATTGTTAATGTTAACTTTAATGTGCTACAATTAACATGGGAGTGCAGGTATCTCTTTGATATAACTGTTCCATTTCCTTCAGATATATACCTTGTAGTGAAATTACTGGATCATATGGTTGTTCTACTTTTAGGTTTTTAAGGCATCACTATATTGTTTTATATAATAGCTACATTAGTTTACATTCCTACCAGTACTGTGTCAGAGTTCCCTTTTCTTTGCATCCTCAACAGCATTTGTCTTTTTTAGTAATGGCCATTATAACTAGGGTGAGATGATGTCTCATTGTGGTTTTGTTTGCATTTCCCTGATAATCAGACAACTGACCATTTTCATTCATTTGTTGGCCATTTGTATGTCTTTTTTTGAAGAAAGTCATTTCAGCTCTTGAATCTATTTTAAATTTATTATTTGGGGTTTTGTGTTTTCAGTTTCTTCTATGTTCCCTGTATTAATACCTTGCTGGATGAATCCCTTGTTGCTTGAAAATATTTTCTGCTATTCCATGGCATTTCTTTGAATCCTTTTGACTGTTTCTTTTGTTGTACAGAGGCTTCTTAGTTTGATGTAATTCCATTTGTTTATTTTTACTTTTGTTGCCCCTGTCTTCAGGGTCCTGTCCAAAGATTCTCTGCCTACACTAATGTCTTAAAGGGTTCCCTATGGATTGTTTTGGTAATTTCATAACTTTGCATCTTCTGTTTAGTAGTACATTATTCCATTTTTCTGTTGATTTTTATGTATGGTGAGAAGAAAGAATCCAATTTCATTCTTTTGTATATGTACAGAATTTATTGAAGAGACTGTCCTTTCTTTTTTATTATTTTTGAGATAGTGTCTCACTATGTAATTCAGACTGGGCTTGATCTCACTTAGGTAGGCCAGGCTTGTCTCAAATTTGCAATAATCCTCCTGCCTCAGCCTCCCAAGTGCTGGGATTATAGGCATGTACCAGCACAACCAGCTTTGTCCTTTCTTTAATGTATGTTCCTTTATAAAACATACATGGGCTCTATATACATGGATTGATTTCTATATTCTCAATTCTGTTCCACTGGTCTATGTTTTTATGCCAGAATTATACTGTTTTGATTGCTATAGTTTTGTAGTATGATTTGAACTCAGGTACTGTGATGCTTCCAGACTTGGTTTATTTTTCTCAGGATTGCTTTGGCTATTCTGGCTCTTTCATGGTCCCATATAAATTTTAAAATTGCTTTTTTTCTCTTTCTATGAATAAAGTACTTGGTATTTTGATAGGTATCAAATTGAATCTATTGAATCAATCACTTAGAATGGTATGATAGTTTTAACAATATCAGTTCTTCTGATCCATAAACATGGAATATTTTTCATTGTTTTGTGTCTTTTCTAGTTCCTTATCTATGCTTTATGATTTTCATTTTAGAGATCTTTCACTCTTTTGGTTAAAGGAATTCCTACTTTTTTGTAGTTATTGTGTGGATTGCTTTCTTTCAACAAGTTCATTAGGAAAATGCCCTCTGTTGGGTGTTGATTTTGTATCCTGATGTTTTACTGATGCATTCATCAATTCTAGTAGATTTTTCTCTATAGAATGATGTCACCCATTGGATTTTCCATCATGGAGGACTAAGGGCAGCACTGCCAGAGGAAAGCTGTGAGAGCTGCACTCTAGAAAGCACGGGTACACAGAAACAGGGGCAGCAAAGAAAGCCAAATATGGTAAGGCAAACTGGAGGAGGAACCCACCAGATCGACTCCAGGAATGGGGGAGCCAGGCTGCTTTGAGGCCCCCAGGCCCTTACACCACAGGTTTGGCACGCAGGGCATCTTGGGAGAGGATCGATTTCCCTGAGGGAGGGAGCCTGACTCTCAAAGAGGACAGGTCACTGAAATGGGTTCCTAACCACCCTGTCCTCCCCATTGGGAAAAGGAACACAGTGAACAAAGTATCTGTTGACCAGGGCACCAGAGAAAGTCAAAACCAGAAGACAGAGTCTGAGAAGGCACCAGCTGATCCTTGGGAAAGTTGAAAATAAGGACCCAATCCTGATTAGGGACCCGGATTACAGCACTGAGGAAAGCCAAGGCACTGGGGGCTGCACAGGCAGTGAAGTGAACAGCAAGACCCTGGAGGAGAAAGTTCAACACACTGGCCTAAGAATAGGTGCTCACTCATTCCTCTCCCAAACACCCGGAGGGTTGTGACTGGAGATATCTTGCTCACAGTACTGATCACCCATGACCAGCACCTGCACAGGGGCCCCCATCACCCCCAGATGAATGTTGCTGAACACAGCGTCCCCTGAAGCACCACCATGGGTAAGAGTGCTGGAGACTGGCACCTTAGCCAGAGGGTGAACTGTGAAAAGCTTTTGAAGCTTGTGAAGGTTACTGGGTGAGGTGATGCACACCTGTAATCCCAGGACTTGGGAGGCTGAGACAGGAGGGTCGCCTCAAGTTGAAGGGCAACCAGAGCTTCATAGTGAGTTTAAGCCCAGCCTGAACTGCAATAGCAAGACCGTTGTCTCAAAAGAAAGAAAGAAAGAAAGAAAGAAAGAAAGAAAGAAAGAAAGAAAGAAAGAA